CCCACCCACCCCCAGCACAGACTGTTCACACCCCTACCCTCTGGTTGGAGGTTCAGAAGTGTGAAATGCAGGACCTCTAGATTGAAAAACTCTTTCTTTCCCTCTGCCATCAGACTCCTAAACAGCTGAGGAGTTTATTACCAGGAAATAAGTCATTTATTGTTTACATTCTCAGTTTGCACATGCATAATTGCACATTCACTGTTGACTGCTGCACATGCTGCGCCCATGCAGCATACATTCTCTTATTATATTGTTATATATTTTTATTATGCTGCTGCATTTGCTGCTTAAAGTGCCTTAGATTTTATGTTACTTATTTATCTACTTTATATTTCATTTGTATTTTGTGGCATTAATGTGGATGGCAAAGCAAGAATTTCATTGTGCAGGGAAACACGTTTCCTAACTGTGCATATGACAAATAAACACTTTGACCTTGACTGGTGGCACTGTTTGTATCCATATGTGAATCAGAAGCTATACACAGTGTCTGCTATGAAAAGGTCAGTTGTTGGAGAACATTGTGAAAGTTGAAGCAAAGAAAATATACAGAAGACAAACAGGTGAAGATACAAGGAGACCATCAGAAAGCTCAGCGAGTGAATTTCAGAAAATAGAGAAATGTAGACAAGTAATTGGCTAAGCTGTCTGTCACACAGTGTATGAAACATTGGTGAACACATAGAGTGGGTGTGGTGCCTGTGTCAAGACAACAGGCACGGCAACCCTGCGATTACTGGCACTGATTATCATTAATACCGGTTGTACTAGTTAAAAATACAGAAACAGCTCAAATATTGAAAGACCACCGATCAAATCACAAGAAAGCTCTGCTGTGTAACAACTAGGGATGTAGCTCATGGTACGATATAATAAAAAGTAATGCAATAAATACCTGATTATCACAATATTAAATGAAGAGAAAATACAAAAAAAATGTCCCTTAATAAACAAGTTTTTTTGTATAATGCACTGCATATAAATGTATATAAAAGAAAATGTTGCAATCAGTTGCAGTCTTTTTATTAAATAAAATAAAACTACATATTACTGCCGCAGTTGGAGCTTGTAAACACGAGTCATACTCACAGTGGAACATCAGTGTTTTAGTACCTCCTAGGCAGGTTTAACTTAGTCAGCACGGCCATCCAACAGAGTATCTTTTCTATCTCTATATCGCAAAATTACAGATATCACTACATCCCTAGGATCATGCAGACAGATTAAAACAGATATTATGACTTTTAGTTATCACCCATGCCCTTCTGTGCATGCTTTTGACACTTACCATATGGGTGCGTGTGCGATGGTAAGGCTGAACAATGGGTAAACCCAGGGGTGTCACCCATTGCACAGTATGGCCAGACTTGGAAATGAGCCTGGCACTTTCTGTCAGCCAATCCTGCAACAGATGGATGCCAGAAGAGGTACAGTGAGTGTCACACCGAACTGAAGAGCATACTCAAAGCAATTTGGGTGAATACCTGCCTAGATGTTGCATTCAAATCAGAGAGTTCAATCAGATAGCTGACTGATTACATTTTCATGTTCTGTTAGGTTAAAATTGTGCAAATCACGCTATAAATAAAGACAGTATGGCACATTTGGAACAACACATAAAATAGGAACATCACCCAAAGCATCAACACATGATCAATGCATTGAGGTCAGCTACTGTTCTTCAAGAAACTGCAAACAACTGTTTCAAACTTGCTGAGGAACAGGTGAGGAGCTGTTGCTTACTCTAAAAATTGTTAGTGCAACAGTGCTGTTTGCATAAGTGTCTGGCACAGTTTGTCTCCAAGAATGAAAACCCTATTAAAGTCCCACAAGTGCCTCCTCACACATACGCATGCATACTGAGCTGTAGAAAAGATAAATACTGTACTTCCTCACAACGCGAGCTAGCAGGCTGGCCCTAATCGGCTCCATTCATCATCACCTCCCTCCGTATATTCCCAGACAAAGTGAAATGATGACATCATAAAAGCAAAAGAGCACAAGTGAGACATTAACTAGCAAGACAGCTAGAGAGATTGAATGATTATTTAAGAGATTGATAAGAGGCACACAAAGAGAGAGGGTGCTGACTGGACAGAGGTGGGTTTGAAAGGAATGACAGAACTAACAGAATAAATACAAAATGTACAGAGAACACAGGAGAAGTTGGGATGAAAGCGTTGCAGACTGATCATCTACCTCACACGTTCTTTAACTCATCAATGCCAAATACACAAGGATATGGCCTATTTAAAAGCAGTAGGTATACACGCAAACATGCACACATATATGAGGATCAGGTCAGCACCGGGGTGTGATGGTAAGGGGATTTTTCACTTCAGACTGGACTGTCTCCTCACATTCCCCAAAGGACACATGCACACATACACCAGCAGTGAGTGGTGGTTTTATTAGCTCACCAGACTACTCTCTGCCTGTGGGGATAATGTACTATCCCCCGCCAGGTGCAAGTCTTAAATCTATAAATGGAATATATGGGATGAATGGGTGCTGTTGCCAGGGCAATAGTGAAGCAAACTAGTAATTAATAAAAAAATTTAAGTCACATCATGCAGAGCTAGGTCAAAAGTCAGAAAATGGGAGTAACACTTTATTTGTAGGCATCTGTAATTTCATAATAATTTCCTAGAATGTTTCCAGGAAAGAACAATGTAATATAGTATAATTACATGAAACATTTAGTAAAAGTTCAGTTACAATAGCTGTATTGTGTTTTATATATATATCAGTCAATTTCAAAGTAAATGTGTTTGGATTGTTATTCATTGGAATTATGTAACTAAATCTATGAATATAACATTATCTCTATTTTCTAGATGGGAGTAAACATACTTTATCACTGTAAACACGGAGAAAAGGTGTTAATGCCTGTGGAACCGTACACCGTCTGATTTGTGAAGGTATGCTGGCTTACAACGCGAGTGGAATTAGCATTTACTGCATGTGTGGGTATATTCTAAAAAAACAAAACAAAGAAACAATAAAAAAAGGAAGAATATCTTTCAAGAATACTGTATTTTTACTGAATGTCAGCCCTGTTGTGTAATTAGTAACACTAAATTATATATACATTATAATCTGGTGATATTCATCTTGGATGAGATACTTTCAGGTTGGTATTTCATTTGATGCAGTGGTAAAGAACTCACCTGGATCTCTCTGGTCCCTGAAAACATCTCTTTTAAGCCACTGAACACCAGTTGTACCAGGTAATGGGATGCCTGCCACACATGCTCCTGGAAAAACAACACATATTCAAAGTTTCTTAACACAGCTTTCTACACACTTTAATTTTTGCTCCACTGCATTTCTAATTTAAATAATATATTCTTTTTTTTTTTTTTTACTTTATCATTGTGGATTAAATACATAATGAAAATGTTAGTGGTAAAAGTTGCAGCACACAATAAGAAATGTATTGTTATTGTGATATGAACTCCTCCTCAGTAGGAGCTGCCTCATTCCTCTCATCCATCCACTTGTAATCAGTCACAATTACACTTCCCCCCTAGTTCCCTGTTTAAACAATTAGGGACATTATGTAGAAGTCATTTAGCACAACCCTCTGGCTGTGTGATAGTAGAAACACTGGAAGCATGCTGGTGCCATCTATACAGACAGATTAACCTCAACTACTGTACAGAACTATATAACTATTTGACATAAATTAAGCACTAGAGTGCTGTGAGAAGATTAAATGCTTCCACTCTCCTGCCACAGTGTCATTTCAGCAGAACGGGTGTGCCCATCAGCGAACCATTAATGTCTGACCAAATCAAAGTGCAGTGGTTTTGAACTAAAAACAGAACCATGGGTGGCTATGCACAGGATATCAAATATACCTGTTGTTGTATTACAATCCTGGTCTTCCTGATAGAAATCATGCAATATTTGATTTCACTACAATCAGATAATCACATAAATTAACTTGACTAAAGTAAAGTTTAAAAGTTCTTGCTCCATTCAGCTCACTGGACATAGTGTAGTTGAACTCTTCATGTCAAGGTCAAACTTATGGGAATCCCTATGGATGCACACAGGCAAGTCCATGGCAGGCATACAGTAACCGTCTCTATTGACCATCACTCTGTGATAAATGCACATACAGAAGAAGCAATAACACAAATGGAGGATAGCGGTCAGTAGAAAACACCTTGCACTTCATTAGGAGTCCATTTGGGTCAAATGTGTAAGGATGTATAGCCTGAGAGGAGGGTGTAATAAGGGCCCTGTATAGAGAAGGTCATGTGCTAAGCGGCCACTTTGCCATGCCACGCAAAGGCCACACTAAAAATAAACCTGTTTGAGGAAAACCCCTCACCCACCTCCCTGTACCATCATACCTTGGGGAACTCTTCAATCTCCTTCAGTCTTTTCTCTATCTGCAGGCGACCCCCGTATCGTGTGACACCATACACAACAGTCATCACAGTCTGTTTGACCACCTTCCGGCTGATGAAGCCCTCCAGAACCTGGGCAATCTTCAGACCTCTCTTGGCATCCTGCAGTCGAAGCTCCTCCACCTGCAGGTATATACATGAGAAATTTACATAAAACATACATGCAAATGCCAAACAGTCCCTGTCCAAAATGTGTTCTTTGGAGGACATCTTAATGCTTATCCCCAAACCCACACTCATACCCTCCTGGGCAGAAGAACTTTCACTAGAGCAGCAACTAATGTTGATTTTCACTGTCAATTAATATGGTAATTTAAATAATCTCATGAGGTAGGGCAGTCGTCTCCTGACCAGCAAGTTGGTGGTTCAACTCCCGGTCCCTGAGCAAGACACTGAACCCCGAATTGCTCCCGGTGGCTTGACTAGCGCCGGTGCGTGGCAGCCTGTCGTCATCGGTGTGTGAATGTTGTGTGTGAATGGGTGAATGGTGTATGACCTCCTGCAAAGCGCTTTGACCAGTGCAACACACTGTGAGAAAGAGCTATATAAAATACAGTCCATTTACCAAAATACAGTCCATTTACCAATATTTTCTTGTTTTATCCACAAAGACTCAGAATAATATCAAAGTGATATCAGCAAATGTCTAGGTTTGTGTGATTGGCAGTCAAGGACCTGAGGGTCTTCCAATTACTCCCTAATTGATTCCTAGCAATTGAGAGATTTTAAAAAGTCATTAAATATTTTCACTCAATCAACTAATGGATTAATGAACTAACCGATTTGGCTCTAGCTACATACTGTACATGTATATGACTCTCCAATAATATGACGAACAGTATGTTGCCTCTGACAGTTAATGTCCATCTTACCCATGCAAGTAAACAAGATTTACTTACCCAGCTAGCATGCTAGTTCACAAGTCTGAATATTACAGTATTATCTAACAAAAACTGCAGGGCCAAGAGGTAAAAATATCCTACTAATCAGTGTCCTGAATCCCTGCAACACGCACACACAAGCTCACTGACGACTACACAATAAACTTTGCAGTTACAGTCACTGCCCTTGAAAGGTTTCAATTTTTTCCCCTCAGCACACTCTGAAATATCACTACATTACAATTAACTTCAAATTGTTTTTTCCTCCTCACAAAAACTACAGCAAGCAGGGTCCTTTGATAGCAATGAATGCACACTAGCCCTCTGATGCAAGGCATGATAAACTAAGCTCTTATGTACAAGATGTACAATGAGAAACTTAAAGGGCCCATGGCATAGTTTTCCTTGTTTTTTTGACTTATCTACAATGTTACAACAGTGAATTCTCATCTTAGACGTGACCTAAAGCTAAAAAAATTAGGTGTACGTGTGTTCTAGTATTTCTATGCAGAAGCAACTCGGTTTATAGACGAGTTTCTCTATGGGATATGTTGAGTCATCTGAATATTAACAGATAAGCAATCACAATTCAGTTCTCTTATGCAGACTTTAAGTATACGCTAATCAAAGAGGAACAAAACAATGCAAACCAAAAGCCGACTGATGCTGACCTGCTGTGCTACTCCACTGTACACATCCTGGGGCACGTCACAGGCCACAAGGTTGACTGATTTAGCACCAATAACATCTCGGCCTAGAGCGGCGTAATGCTGGAGACCATTACAGGAGCCATCCTGGAGGAGAGGTGGAGTGAAGAAGAGATAAATTAAAGCAACAATTAAAAGTCTCTCACACAAATCAACTCTTTCTTGCCATTTAGATTCTCTTCTTTATACTAAGTATGTATCTGTCATTTAAGACAGTTCACACTGATCAACATCAATTTGATATACTGTGGTGGAAGAAGTACTCAGATACTTAAGCCACCATACAACAGTGTAAAATAGTCTGTTACAAGTCCTGCATTCAAAATGTTACTCAAGTAAGACTACAAAAGTATTAGCATCAAAACATACTTAAAGTAAAAGTATTCAATAAACATAATGGCACATTAATATTAACGTACATCATATGAATGCATTATAATGACTGATGCATTATTGTGTTCATCGCATTAAATGTTGCAGCTGGTAAAGGGGTAAGCTGGTAACTAGGTTATATGCATTTAATTTGAATTACTGCTGGGTACTCGGGGATCAATGAATTCTTATCATACTGTATTTCTGTATTAACCTGGTTCTGAAAACTAACTAGTAACTAAAGTTATAAAAAAAAAAACTATAGTGTAGGAAAAGGTACAATATTTGCCTCTAAAATGTAGTGTAGTCAAAGCATGAAGCAGTGGAAGATGAAAACATTTCAGTACAGATACTTCAAATTGTACTCAAGTACAGTACTTCAGTAAATGTACTGTCAAAAGGCTAATCCAGTCCCTGCCGTTCAAAGCTACAGAGTGAAAACCTTGGAGCTAGTGTCTTTTAACAACAGCTGGTGAGGAAGAGGCACTAATCTCTTTGAGACATATTGATTACACTCATTTTGTCCAAATCTAACAGTCAGACAAACAAATAATGTTATGTGTGCTCACGTTATGCTATACAGCAGTGTATTTTGGGGTAGCCGAGGCTCTGGGGGTAGAGCAGGTTGCCTCCTAACCGGACGGCTTGGCAGTTCAATTTCTGGCTTCTCCAGCCTACATGTTGAAGTGTCCTTGAGCAAGACACTGAAAGCCAAGTTGCTCCCGGTGGCTGTCCAACCAGTGTGTGAGTGCGAGTGTCTTTGTTTTACTTACATTATGGGGACCAAAACCTGTTAACACACACACACACTGTGGGGACTTGGCCATCTCTGAATTTTAGGGTGGCGACATGGTTTAAGGTTAGGGTGAGATTAAGCGTTAGGGTTAGGTGTTAGGCGTTAGGCAAGTAGTGCTATGGTTAAGGTTAGGTAAGGTCTACAGGAAATGAATGTAAGTCAATGTAAAGTCCCCACAAGGAATGAAAACACAGCGTATGTGTGCGCTTGGGAGTATGAATACGTGAATGGCCAAAAAGTGTGAAAGGGCTTTGAGTATACTGCAATGCATAAAGAAAAGCACTATAAAGGTTTAAGTCCATTTACCATTTTGGTGTTAATGCTTTCCTTTTGTTTTATTGTTTTTAATACTAGAGGCAGGAAAATGACTAATACTTACATTACTTGCAGTTTTATTGGTGCACATTAGTAAAAGTAACATGGTAGAAAGACATTTTCTCAAGTGCCAAATAAGAGCCATGTTATACTGGGGCTATTAACAAGGGCCTGAGGTGCAGATAATGTTGCATTACATTATAAAAGCCACCGATTGTGCTTAAAGCTGTAAGTGAATTCCTGACACAAGGCTGCAGTTAGCAATTTGTTTAAGAAGGCCACTAGCTTAAATACAAGATTTCTACAAAGGATAGCTAAAAGGGTTCTGGTCTGAAAAATTAGTACAACATGTTTGTGACACATAACATCAAACAGGCCTCAGCTGGTTCCGGAGGTCCTGACTTGTTAACTCGGTGCCCTCTAAAGCAGCACCACTGGCACACCTTATTTTTAGGAGACTATAGACAAGAAGTAAAACTGGCTATAGTTGTTGGCAGATGAGTAAATCCTGTAGGATAATTGTTTTAATCATCTTATATGATATCAGGTGAAACAGAAATTTTCATTTCTGTTTCACCTGAGTAAAGAAATATTAATTCACCTTTACATTTTTGTTTTTCAATAAAATGCCTCATTAAAGAAGAAGGTAGAAGATCGAATGTGTCAAATTGCTATGCAATTCTGTAAACAGATCATTCTTTCAACTGTTGATTGGTACCTGATGAACAGGAAAATGAGAGATGAATTTTGTTGGATCAGGAGATCGCACAGCCTTGGCTATCTCCATGCAGCAGGCCAGAGTCTGCCAAGGCTCATCTGCATTCATCCACCACTTCTTACCCTGTGAAAGACAAACACAAGCACATGGCACATTATCCTGCCTATATAAATACTGCAAGAAAAGCATTTTTATTTTACTGTTTTGATAAGTATTCATATGAATAAAGTATAGGTGTAGATTTTGTCACTAATTAAACTGACCATTCACCAAGAGACAGAGAAAAGAGTTTGGCTATAATCTGCATTTCAGAAATTAAAAACGGGATCTCTCTTTGTGCGTGTGCTTCTATGTGCTAAGACATCCTAACAGGAAATGCTTTGTTAAATTTTTATGCTATGGTTAGACAAAGCTATTAGTTACCAACAAAATCAGTAAAGATAGACTAACATTCAAAGGGTTGTCGGCAGAGTCCAATATGTCCTCCATGATTGTGTTGGCGTATTCCAAACGTCCCTGTAAGGAGCTTTTCTTCTTTAACCCTGTCAGATTGACTAAGTGGATCTTTAGCCAGTCCAGACCTTTGGGACCAAGGGGCTTCCCCTCCGCAAACACAAGGATGGCCCGAGTCACATCGCTTCCCAGGTGATTAAAGTATGGAGGACAGGGGTAAGTACGACCCCGGAAATCCATGCTGTGAGGGAACCAGAAAATTTCATCCCGCATGTGGTTAGCGATGGAGAGCTTATAGAGAGCATCCATACGCAGGCTATGCATCTCATTGTATTTCTTTTTGGCAGCAATCACCTCTTTTTTCATGTGGGCCTTCTCATTAGCAGTACAAGTGGGATCGTGGAGGTTGAAGTGGGGTATTTTGGGGGCCTCTGACAGAGGAGGAGGGATGTCTAGACTATCACTACCCCGATCATTAAAAATGGAAATAATAATATCCAACAGCGGTTTGTTGACTCTCCAAGCACAGTTGCCCAGCTGGGTGAGAGAGTCTATGACTGCATGCAGGTTCTGGCATTTCTCCAACAGCACCTCGTGCTGGGTGGCCCCATCCACTGTGCGCATGAGTTTGGTCGGTGTTAGCAGGTAGGCTCCAAACTTGACGGAGGTCCACGGAACAGGAGGGCACAGCATTGGCATTACATAGGAGTCAAAGGTCAGCTTGGTCTCCATGGCTTCCTGCTGCATCTGAGCCAGGATAGGGTGGGGCTTGATAAAGCCGATCTGATGGGAAAAACATCACGAGAAATCAAATTAGAAACATCAAAATGAGCCAAGGGAAAAGTGCTCCCAATTTATATTGCATATATACAGAGACAAATGTTTCAATTACACAGAGATGAATGAATCAGGTTAAGGTTAATCATTACAGAAGTAGCAGATTTGAGCACAATCTTGATAAATACATAACAGCAGATGGGCTATAAATTGTGACATCTGTTTTATAGCATTTTAAATCATAACTGACAAGAACAATCAACTACCTCTGCGCTGAAACAACTACAAACGACTCAGGTAGGCAACTGTAGCTCTACAAATCTCAATTATTTAATTAAAAGTGGTCAACAACAAGTCACTAACCCACTAGAGTTTCAACATTACAGATGATCTGGTGAAACACAGATGTCACACTTTCTTTTCTTTATTTTATATATTATGTAAAATCTTAGTTAGTGGCACCATAACGGCTGGATAACTGCATGTTATGACGTGTGTATAAACAAGTATTTTAACTTTGATACGAAAGAGTTGTGTCCACGTTCTAACTCAACAGCATGTAGCTACCCTGATGGGCTAAGACAGAAACAAGAGGAGGGGGAGAATAAGAGAAAAGAACACAGAGGGAGAAGGAGAGAGATGTAAATATTGCACAATGATAAAATTCTTCTATTGTAGATTCCACTGGCAGTGTATCAAGTTAATAAGTTTTCTCTTTCTCCTCTGACAATGCTCCATATTCTCCTGCAGGGTCCCATGGCAATACATCAGCTGCTGGACATCGGCGTGCAGGAACTGTTCCCTGAACTCACGAAGGTAAATGTGTGACAGCGAAGCAATTAAGAGGACACTAAAAAAAAGGGAACCTAGCCTGGAACCTACTCATCTTACTCAACTGGAAATGACTTTAAAATTCCCAGTCTTCAAAGCTTCATGCTGAATATGACGGTGCTCAAATGTTCAAGGTAGCAGGCATCAAAGTGACAGTCTTCGTTTCTAAAGTGAAAGTCGAGTGTTTTAGTGTCTGGTTTTTTTGTTTTTTTTTTAATTTATTTCTGCTCCACTATGGTTCTTTCTTTATTAATGAAACTATCTGCTGTACAAATACTTAAAATTCACTTAGTCTTTTATTCAGACTAATTGTATGTAATTTTCAAAAGTCAAAATGAATGTGATCATTTGAGTTGACTGACACATGGCGTCAATATAATGAGCATTTTTCCACATAAATGTCAGCTGAAAGCATCTTTTTTTGTCTGGGTTAATGCACATAAATCCTGTTAACAGGTTATGAAAGTTCCATCAGTTTGGCAAGACCGCTTTAGCATAAACACAACTGCTTCCCAGGGTAGCCAACTCCTTTGTTATCCCTGTGGAATAAGCAGAGTGAGATTTCCACTTCCACTGTACCTGTCGAATGCTACGGAAGGTGTACATGTGGTAGAGGATGGGGATGAGCTTCCTGTCAGAGCCCGGATTCAGGATGTCACTATTGATTTTAAGGTTCTTGATCATCAAGTCCAGCATGTAAGTGCCCAGCTCCAGAGTTACTAGGTATGGCCAGCTTGTTTCATTTCCCTGCAGTGTGGGTCCTGAGCTGTGCTCTATCTCCAGCTTACACCACTGCTCCCTGGGAAGGACGTTACACACCTGGAGGGAGAAGAACAGAAGTTGGTGTTGACAACATTCAGTAAAATCATATGATTTTGAATATGATTATTTTGCAAAGACATAGCAAGTCACCACAATAAGCTATACAGTTTTGAAATATGACAGGTGAACATCTTAAAATACTCTAACAGGCACAAATTTGTAGGGGTGTGATGATGCACTTAGCTCACGGGACAATATAATGCACGATACTGGGTTCATGAGAACGAGGTATTTTGACACTTTTTTAAGAAATCTTCAATGATGAAATATATGACTGGAAAAAATCTTATTTGACTGAAAGTAACAAAAAGCAAAACAATGCAGTTGCATTTTGAAATGTTTTAACTAATCAGCTTGTTCTACTTTGAGTTTGAATTATCATATGCAATAAAAGACAGAACAGTATGCAAACACTGTAAAAGGTTTTACCACAAACTCGACTAGCTTCTCTCCTGTATGATTTCATGAGTCTCTTTAGACCTTTTAACTGTGCATGAACTATGCATGAGCTTCTAACTTAAATGTGTATGACCTTTTGCGCTATTTTCACCCTCACTGCATCGCACCAGACAGTGGCATCTTCTGAAAAAGGCACTGCGTTGACCAGTCATGTGCAGGGGATGATCGAGACGTGGATGCCCACAGAAAGAAGACACTTTTGTTTACCTTGAAAGCATGAGCATTCACTGCTATTCACTGTCAAATTCTGATATGTACCAATATCGCAAGACAGCTTTTACCTCCATGAGAAATATCGTCACATATTATTATCACAATATCTCGTGGCATGAACTCTCATCACACCCCTACTAATTTGTGATCTAATCTTCAGCTTTCCCCTTCTTAAGAGCCATAATATATACTGTAAACATCCAGATACGTTTCAGCAAAAAAAAACAAGCTACCAAAGTAACCTTACACTTGTATAGTGCTTTTCTATATATTGCAGCACACTCAAAGTGCTTTCACATTATTTGCCCATTCACCCCTTTGGCACTCCCAAGCACTCACACATTCACACACCGGTGATATCTCCGGAAGAAACTGGGGGGGTTCAGTGTCTTGCTCAAGGACACTTCGACATGTGGCCTGGAGAAGCTAGGAATTGAACCGCCAACCTTTCAGTTAGAAGACAACCTGCTCTATCCAGTTTGTTAGTGAGCGAAACTGCTGCAGACATTTTTATACTATACTACTTTATGTAAAGAACTGCTTCTCTATGCTGCTCAATGCCTTGGCATCACCCAAGAAAGAACACTCACCATCAAACCCTCTGCAGCTCTTGAAAGCAGCTTCATTTCCTCCGGAGGAAATGAAGTACTTATTGTCATCCTATGCATCAAATAAGTTACATGACCTTAATCTCGACTGGTTATCCAGCAGAGCTGGCAAACTAAAAGAACTTCTCTCAACCGACAGCAGCCAGAGCAAACTTCAAAACGTCTTGCTACAGTAAGTCTACATTCCTTTAAGATGTTCTGACAAACAAATCTCACAATGACTCTGCATGGTGTCCTTGCTCTGAAGAGTACATCACAACTATATTTAGGTTTAAATTAAACTTCACTACAACATTTAGCTTCATAACATGACAATATCTGAGATGTGGCTTCTACTGTAGTACACAAAAGAAAAGCAGTGCTTAGCAACAAAAAAACTGTCACATTTACTGACAAAGGCAACAGGTATAATTTCAGCTCAACAACTACAGCACTGCAACAACAGATTTTAGACAAACTGTGTAGTGATGGTGATTTGTTTGATTCTTCGCAGCAGATCTGAGAATCGTGTTGTGTTTTCACATGTAACTAAAGCTGCAGCAATGAACTGCAATGTCCTTCAGTTTGTGCCTTTGCAGGTTATGTAGTGTTAGCTGTGCAGTAAAATATATAATATACTGTATGCCTAGTTACAGTGCTGTCTTTTTCATGTGGTTTATGAACTACATTACATACTAATAAGTTGGGTTATATGTTTTTCACACTTTTACACTAGATTTGATCTGTCATTCATTAAAACCAGGAAACAAGCCTTCCTCTCACTTTCTACTAAGCCACATTTATGTTGTGCTGGACCACAATGCATGCAAATAAACAAGAGACATATACATAAAGACAGACATCTGGAAATTTACAAAATGCTGTGGAAGAGTCAAGGTCTTGGTATGTTTACTTGGTTGTATAAACAAGTAAAACTTCATTTCTGTACCTTGGTTTCTTTGGCCAGGATGCCTGTGTATGCGTTGTAAATGTTGCACAACTTTTCCACCATCTGATTATGGTATTTCTGTCGCACAGAGTACTTGGTGTAGACCCTGTTGCCCAAATCCCTGGCCAAAACCTTCAGCGACTCTCCATTGGGAGGCAGGTTGGCAATACTCTGCACAAGAGCAAGACAAGGTTCAACAGGTCAAACAGATGAAAACAGCAGCAAAAGGATGCATGAGGCTTTTATCAGGTCTGGCTTATTTGAATAAAATGCAATCCTTCAGTCAGAGGGGAAATCAAAGTGAAAAAGCTTCTTTCAGAAAGCACATTATACCCAGGGAATTGGACTACATCAGAAGCAAAGGTATCTGATCAAATGCATGATCTCCTTTGCTGCCAAAGATAAAGCCTTTTCCAGCTGTTGTCACTGTCAACTGCTTGATTTGTGTTTTATGGTTTCCCAGGTTGGTTCAGTTATAATACATAACAACGGCATCAAAATAAAACAAGAAAAGGCAACAGTGACATCAACGAACACCTTCATTTTTATGTTATATTAAAATAAAGCTGACATCAATCAAATGTCTTTGACTCAAACACCAGCAAGTCTCTGTTAAATCCCAGACTTCTGGCATTTCATTGATTGGTAAACTGGGTTAGGCGTTTTGTATTACCTGTATCATGATGTCAATGTACTCCTTATCCTCCAGCAGACAGAGGTAGGGGTAAAGGTTAAGCCTATAGTCATCGGTGTTGGTGTTAGCCTGTATCATCTTGCTCTCTCTTAGGGCCTGGAGGAGGACCTTCTGCCACTGAGGCCGCTGCTTTGCCAGTAGTGCCCTCTAAAAGGAAGACAACTAATAGGCTGTATGATCAAAATGGATATTTGTTAAATTGTGATGTAGTAGATGAGTCCACCTCTCACTGAACGCAAGTTAATTGTACAACATGACTGTGAATGGTTGGGCTTGTTTGGCCCAGATGCCTGCAGATGACAAGAAGAAAACATTCCAAACAGACAATCATTCCAAAGGGGAGACAACTGGCCCATAAACCTATCCAAGAGTAAAACAGTAAACCTCTCCTCTTCCCAGAGTTGAGGCCTATTAGAGGTTTGAATGTGTATGATTTAATCAGTGAATAATCATTTGTCATTCTCATTTCCATCAAATGAGATTAGAGCTGTAGTTTTTATGCTGAGAGTTAGATGGGAAGATCAAAGTCACTTTCATGCTTAAACATCAAGTATGAAGCTACATCCAGAAGATGATGGGCTTAGCAAACGTCACTTAGCATAAGGACAGGGAGTAAGGGGAAACAAGCTAACCAGCTTTTTGCTCAACTTAGATGATCATGTGCTGGCTTTAGCTTCACATTTACCATACAGACTTGATGCTCATGTGGATTTTCTCAGCAAGAAAGCAAATAAGTAGATTTCCCAAGATATCAAACCATTCATTTAACAAAGAAAATAATATATTTTAAGTAATTTAATGCTGACTTACATAAAGTGTCAATGATTTAAATCTTCCACCAGATGATGTGGCTAATAACCACAGTACCTCTTTAGTGCAAGCTAATTTTAGGTTAGCACACAGGCAAATCCATCTGTACTTGGTGGACTTCCAAGGTTCCAGCTTTGTTACTGAAATGAAGAAACTAAGTGATGAAGGGTCCCAAAATTCACACTGCATCTCAGGACATAAACTGAGCCATGGAGTCCAAGGAACTCCCAAGAAACAGAGCTTCAGAAGTCCACTGCAAACATGGGAAGAGTTTCTAGAGGCTCGACCATCTCAGCAGCTCTCCTTTACGGAGAGTGTCTAGATAGAGGCCCCTCTTGAGTAAAAGGCATATGACAGCCTGCTTAGACTTTGCTAAACAGCATTTAAAAGCAGTCAAAACATAAAGATTCGCTGGTCTTAAGAAACACAAATTGGACTCTGGGTAGAATTCCAAGCACTGTGTCTGATGAACACCAGGCACTGTTCATTACCTGGCTAATGCCACCCCTACAGTGACGTCTGCTATGGGGACAGGGACAGGGAGACTGGTTAGAACTGAGGGAAGAATGAATGCAGCCAAATGTCAACAGGAAACATGCTCCTGAGTGCATGACAACTAGAGTGATGGCTCAAACGACTATGAAGTGACGCATATAATCATACCGGTGGCTTTAGGACAAGTCTCTGAGTGAATTAAGGATCAGAACACTTTTGTAAATGAGAAATGCCAATATTATCCATTTAAAATTAAATCCTCAACACAACACAGTGAGGTCTGAATACTTTCAGAAGTGACTACATATTATACTGAGTCTTGATGGAGGATTTATACCTTGAATAAGCAAATACTTAAGAGCTGCTGTTGCTGCACAGCAGCTGGCACAAAGAGGCATTAAAAATTTGTAGTGTATTAATTTTGCTGATTTTTCATGTTAAATTGGACATCCATCTTAACAGCTACTATTCTGCGCTCTCACATTGTGAATCTAATTTTAAGTGAAGCAGAAAACCTGTTTTTGAGCCAACAGCCGGGACAAGCAATGGCTTTATGATGACTTGCATTTTCTAGTGCACTTACATAGATTAATCAAAGTATTTATTAATTCTCATTCACAACATTTATGAGAAAAATATGCATCCCCAGCTGGAAGATTTATTCATTTATATACAGTATATGTCCCTGTGGAAGAATCGGAAATAAAATGATGTCCTATTGAAGCCTAGGTGTATATGTGTTACTGTTCACGCTTTGGAGTTTTACTCAGACGGACTGAAACAGTTAAGACAGTCTGGATTGTAGATAGAGAGATGACTGCTTTGTCTCCAGAGGCCGCCATTACAATACATTATTATTCTTCCCTGCCTGTCTGTAAATGCTTCCTGACCACCAGGGACTCTTGACCTCCTCGCTTCCCACGTAGCCCACCTGCAGAGGCAGACAAGCCAGGCTGGGCTGTAAATGCCAGAGTTGGAAGGGAGGCAAACCACAGGAATAAGATGTTTCTTCCTCTAACCTGTCAGGCCTAAATGCATATTGTTTCAAAGTTTAAATGAGAGGAAAAGAGCGATTCCGCCTTTAGGAGGCGATTTGCTCCCATAGATATGAATAGCATTTTAAATACAACGAAATCATCACTTTGTAAATGCCGAGATATAAACATGGCTACTCCAAACAAAGTAGACTACTGCCAAGATGACATGTAACCATCACAGTCCCAATGTATCTTACACTGTGTGAGCCTGTTGGATTTTTCAGGAAATCTATAGGCTTTTTTTTTCCTGTTACAAAATGGGAAGATAACTGATGCTCTTCCAGCACAAATGAGGATGACTTTTTTCTTTTCAACAGGGTTTGTGGGAAATTTGCTCTCTTTCTTCAAACACTGCACCAGCAACAGCACTATTGTAAATACAGGGTACCATATATCTCAACCAGTGTGTCAACATTAGTATGACAATGTTCAAATATTAATGATAATAATGCATGTTATACTGTTTATGTTAAGGAAAATCAGCTGTGTACAGATGTTGACATGAAGGCAAAGAAGGGCAACAATTGGGTTCTTTACCATTTTGGCCATATTTTCAGTGACAGGCTTGACAGCCTCCACAGAGTCAATGGTGACAGTGCAGGCCTGCTCTATGCTGAGCTGTTGTCTGAAACGCTCCTGGAGCTCCTCCTGAATGAAGTCCAGTTTGGGATAGTGGTGGTCTGCCCTCTAAAGGTCATAAACACAAGAAAGACAGACAGATGAAAACAAGAGTTTACTACTGTATAATGGTATAGACCGTATATAAAAACACTTTTTCCCCTGAGCATAACCTATAAAGATTGGCAGACCTTACTGTACTACTGTAATGTAACCACTTTATTGTTGGAAGCTGATACATGCTCTGCAGATGAGCTTTGCCCGACAGAATCGATTCAGGGCAAGAAGTAAAGAAGCTTTTTCAGGCAAGCCAGCAAAGGCCAGGTCATAAGACCATCCCAGTGCGCTGCAATGAGAGTGTTATTCTGAGCTTCAGTCTCAGTACTACTGGAAACCAAAAACAAACAATTCATTACTCTCAAGTGCAGAATGATAAAGAAATGTTTTTCTGTAAGACTGCATTTTCAAACCCTAGCAAAGCCTTGGCTGTTGAATATAGGAAAAGGTGAAAAGAAGTCCCCTCATACACTGTTGGAAAAAAAATCCCACCAGAGCAAAATGGTTTGGTTGACCAAATTACCTACTAATCAACCAACCTGAATGGCATCACCAAATTTCTCAATGACAGATATAATATAAAGTCATTACTGTTTAAAAAGATGGGGACCTTGCCAAGGCAATAAGACCACATCATAAAAAGGTTGCAGACATGAGTGGATGTGGTAAAGAACATCAACAACAGACGAGATACAGCAGACTGTAAATGAGGCCTCAGAGCGACAGAGCATGGACCAAAGCTTTAGGGTAGTACGGCAGTAAATTGGTCACCAGAGCAACTTTTGTACAATATCAGAACTTTTAAGAAGAAGCTAATACAGTATCAATAGACAGGGAGGAAGTCAATGTACAGTATAGATGCTGAAAAAATTGCTGCTGGCATGATAGTTTTAAAAAGTACAAACTTATAGCTTCTGTTGTATAATGAAAAGTAAAAAAAAAAGGACTGTGTTGCAAAGTTAAAGTTTAGTTGTGTGACCTTATTTAAATACCCAGGAAACTGAGCAGTTTGGTGCATTGTGAGCAATTTTCAAGCTATACATATAAGGGGCACACATATAGGCCAGTTAAAAAAATCAAATGAGGAATACCAGACAATCTCTCATGATAAACTGAAACTATATCAAACTCCATTTTGTACAATGTACAGCTTAATCAATATTCCATCTTACACTAACAAACGCTGTTCTAATTAGATTCTGTTTTTGCTGCCAACACTAATTCAAAAAACCCCCTGAGACAATCAAGTATGTTACTCTGCTATCTGAGGGGCCAGCTATTTGGACAGCCAGTCATTAAGGCAGTCAGCCAAACATTCCTAGAATCAAATTCCTCATGTGTTCAACACACCTGGCAAATAAAGCTGATTCTGATTCTGAAAAAGTCCCAGTAACAGTCAGATAGCCACCTGAACAGTCAGTCAATCACAGGCAACTGCAACAGTAACATATGACCTGTTTCACATGTCACTGAGCTGCACAGTTCCACATACAAGAGAAAAATACTTGCTGATTTCTACCATGACATACACGTCAGCACTAAAATAAATCATATTTGTGTCAGACAGATGATGACCAAAGTGAATATGGTGTAAGGATTGAGGCTACAAATACTGCAGCTGTAGAAAAAAAAAAAAAAGCTGTTAAAGGATCATGTGAGAATCAGGAGGAGAAGGGAGGTGGGAAAAGGGAGGAGAGGTGAGAGTAGAAGAGGCAAGGAAAGCAGAGGACCCATTAGACAGCAGGGTTGGCTCACTATAAATAGGTCAGTGCCTGTCAGAATCAGAATCTGTTTTATTGGCCAGGTGTGTTGGACACACGAGGAATTTGACTCTGGTACATCGGCTCTCAATGTGCATGTACATATCCCCATGCCAGAGGGTCAAGTAGACAGTAAACCAGCATAAGGCTGTGTAATATAACAACATAAGCAGTATTAACAAGCAACAACCAGGGCAAACGATGCAAAATAAGCAGTATAAACAGACGGTAAACAATGCAGACCGACAAAGGAATGCTCACTGAAATGAGATAAATAGGAATAAAAATAGAGTACTTAAGAACTAGAGACCTGTACGAATCTGTACGAGGTATCTTTATAGGTATTGCACTGAGGTTTATTGTCCAATCATACTGTCGTGTGTTAAGTGTTCATCAGAGCGACAGCCTGGGGGAAGAAACTGTCCTTGTGCCTGGTTGTCTTAGTGCACAGTGACCTGTAACACCATCCGGAGGGGAGGAGTTCAAACAGATTATGTCCAGGGTGTGAGGGGTCTACAATGAATCTCTCCGCCCTCCTTTTGACCCGTGAGGTGTACAGGTCCTCCATGGAGGGCAGGCTCACACCAATGACCTTTTCTGCAGTCCTGACTGTCCACTGAAGTCTGTACTTGTCCTGTTTGGTTGCTGAGCCAAACCAGACAGTGATGGAGGTGCAGAGAACAGACTC